AAAACATATCTTAAAGAGATTAAAAATGTACAGCTTTTCCTAAAATGCCAAGCCTTGTAGCCAATGACTAGCTTAGTTATCACTTCAAGTACTTGCAACATAAAGATTAAACCTTCCTGAAGGTTCAAGGCTTCAAAGTTCAGCAGGACTTTACCTGAACATTACCCAAACAACAATAATTGAATGGAATTTCATAACACAACAAAACCCAGGAGATAAAACATATATCTTAAAGAGATTAAAAATGTACAGCTTTTCCTAAAATGCCAAGCCTTGTAGCCAATGACTGCTTGTTTTTGACACAAATATGAAAGACTTTATAAAAGTATCTTATAAATGTCAAATGTATTGACGTACTCTTTCACAGAGATGTACAAATGTAAGGCTTTCCCTAAACGCCAAGTCATGTAGCCAATGACTGCTATTATGCGGTCATAAAACAATTATCTAAAAAAAATATATAAAAGAAATACATTAATTTAGTAGGATCATCATGATGTGATTCTTCCCCGCGAATCAGAAAAAAAGTACGACTAATTTATATCAGGATGCAATATGCTAATACACACACATACATACATACATACATACATACATACATACATACATACATACATACATACATACATATATATATATATATATATTAGACTTAGGTTTGTTTAGTGCGTTACTGTGATTTAGTAGCCAATGACTGCTTGTTTTTGACACAAATATGAAAGACTTTATAAAAGTATCTTATAAATGTCAAATGTATTGACGTACTCTTTCACAGAGATGTACAAATGTAAGGCTTTCCCTAAACGCCAAGTCATGTAGTCAATGACTGCTATTATGCGGTCATAAAACAATTATCTAAAAAAAATATATAAAAGAAATACATTTAGTAGGATCATCATGATGTGATTCTTCCCCGCGAATCAGAAAAAAAGTACGACTAATTTATATCAGGATGCAATATGCTCTAATACACACACATACATATACATATATATATATATATATTAGACTTAGGTTTGTTTAGTGCGTTACTGTGATTTCATTTATGTGAATGCACCTTAAAACACATTAGAAAGTCATTTAAATATTAAATTATTATTATTAAATTATATATTAAATATTTATTGCATTTACGCTACTAATATTTCTTCACAACTTACCACGGCTAGTTTGACATGTCTGAAAGCGCTGATTTGAGGATTTATGAGGTGTTGAGTCGATAACCGCTCGGACTGAATCAGTCAGATTCGCAAACGAATCTTTAAGTGCGGTTGTCACAAAACCGCGTTGTTTAATTCAGACATCGCTCGTATGTTACTGGTTGTAATGGTAGGGCAAACATGCGCAGTCACAAAACTTCCAACAAGTTGCGACGTTTCAGATAAATATAAACAAACGTAAGTCACTCACTAACATTAGTTTCCACAAACCCAAGCCCAAATAGTGTTGCACACTAAAAACCGTTGTAAAAGTGTGTTGCTTTACAGTACTCCTGTGTTTACCTTACTGAGCGTGCCGCCGAGCTCGTCCAGCAGCTCTAACTCCGGGTCCAAATCCTCATCTGAAGCCGACGAGCTGCAGTCCGACATCAGGAAAAATAGGGAAAAAGTCCGCAGTCGTCCTGTTTTTAATTTGACTAGAACGCGTTATAATTTAAACAGACTAAACACGCACACTAGCTTCGAAGTCGCTTAAGCTCTGATGTAAACAGTGCCAGGTGCGAAAGCCCATCCTACTCCGCTATCAAACCAACCAGACGACATGCAGCGATCGCGTTTGCCTTCAAGTCTTCGGTCCTCACTCCGAGAGATTCACGATTCAACAATACACTGCTGTTCTGACATACTGTGACTGCTGTCGCTTGTGCACACGCGTTTCACGATTATCTTCTGGGTTTTAAAGTTTTGGCTTTTTATAACACCCCCCTTTCGGTAGTACGAAGTATTACATAAACTATGTTCCATCACCTCCACTTGTTGATTACCTTTGGGAATCTGTTAAAAAACAACCATGTTAATTCCATTGTATTTTTCTTTTTAGATACCTTTCAGATCAAATCATTTCCAGGTCATAATTCCCCCCCCCCAAATAAAAAAAATTACATATATTATTTCAAGATTCTTTGATGAATAGAAAGAGTCAAAGATCAGCATTTATTTGAAATAAAAAGCTTTTGTAACATTGTACACTATACCATTCAAAAGCTTGGAGTCAGTATACATTTTTGTTTTTGGGGAAAGAAATAATAGAAATTAATATTTTTATTCAGCAAGGATGCTTTAAATTGATCAAAAGTGATGATAAAGACATTTATAATGTTACAAAAGATTTCTATTTCAGATTAATTCTGTTCTTCTGAACTTTCTATTCATCAAAGAAACCTGAAAAAATTCTACTCAGCTGTTATCAAATTAATAATAATAATAATTTAAAAAACATTTTGAGCAGCAAATCAGAATATTAGAATGATTTCTGAAGGATCATGTGACTGGAGTAATGATGCTAAACATATAGCTTTGACATCACTGGAATAAATTACATTTCAAAATATATTCAAATAGAAAACAGTTATTTTAAACAGTAAAAATATGTCAAAATGTTGCTGTTTTTGCTGCACTTTGGATCAAATAAATGCAGGCTTGGTGAAGAGACTTCTTTAAAAAAAATAACAGTAAAAATCTTACTGTTCAAAAACTTTTGACTGGTAGTGTATAGGCCAAACAGGGTGGTAGTTTATGGGCTGTATGAACTCTTTTTTGCTAAGATTCACCCAAATATCAGTATCAATATTTTGAATAACTGAACCTCTGCATATAACAACATATTATACTAATACAAGTGGAGCAACCAGTTCCCACCCTTACCAAGCACAGTGGGATAAATGTCCACTAGAGATACAGGTAGACTGATTTCAAAGCCAGTCTTCACTCCTGGGCCCATTATAAGCAGGGGGACATGAGAGCTGCCCTCAAACATGGACATCTTATAGAACTGCCTGTGTTCCATTGCTAGATCCCCATGATCCGAAGTGAACAGTACGACTGTCCTGTTCAGTAAGCCAGTGTCTCTGAGAGAATCTATCACCTCACCTACAGACACATAATGACAGTAAAATATAGTATAGTATAGTATAGTATAGTATAGTATAGTATAGTGGCTGCTAGGGATGGGCCATATCTTATCGTTTGCGATGTACCGGTAAAAATTCTCCACACGATAAGAATTCGTCTTCCCGCGATAATAACGATAAAGTCTAGTTGTTGACATATTTCTGTGAACGACTGTGTGGAGTGACGTGAAGAAAGGCGGACGTGAAATTGAGCTGCTCCTGAATCTGCAATCTGGAACAGGTTTGGATAGGGCTGTACAGTGCGACAAAAATCGGTCTGAGCCTTGAGTAAATGTACTACAGTAGCACGTGTGCGACACAGTTTTACATGTGTAGGAGTCGTTTACAAACCTGTTGTCCAACAAAGATATTCAGGGCTCTACAGTGTGACCATTTCAACTATACTGCGTGCGTCTATGAAATAATATTTAGGAGCACCTGTGCGACTGACCCGATCAGCATATTTGTGTTTGCTGAGGGAGCTTCAAAGGTTCTAATATACGTACGTGTTTCTGCAGCGTTGAGTAATGTATCACAGACATATCCTCTCATTATAACAAACAAAGTCACCTGACAGAGTGATGTCCTGATGTGTAGTCTAGTTTCCCCATGCTATGAGTGTGGTACCCACTCTTACCTAAATGGTTCATCCATGTGGTGGCATTGGGATCAAGACATTTATAATTGTTCCAGGCCTGAGTCAAATGCACAAACTGGCCACTCCACATAGCTGCCAAAACACATTTAGATACATCAGGTATTCATCTTATTTCTATATTGCATGAATACAAAACTTTTGGTACACAATATATAACAATATGTAGAGGCTGACTAATACTCTACCTGCCCTAGAAGGGCAGCAGATTGGTGAGTTAGTGTACGAGTTGAGAAAAACTGCACCCATTCCCCTCATATAGTTGATGTAAGGCAGCTGTACAACTTTATTGCCAGGAGAAAAAGCTAACCTGCCATCCTTCAGTAATAAGAAAACAAAAGTCAGACAACACACATTGTATTTCATAAAACCTAGTGAGCTGCCTACATAAGCTGTTGCTTTCTAGGTTTTGAAACAGCAGTAATTCTGCAAAGTGATTGAAAATGAGTAAAAGTGGGTGACTTACGAAGGCATCAGACACGAGCATGACTGTTTGGTCTGTCATGTGATGTCCAGTTCAGATACATGCAGTGTGCTTTCATATGAAGAATCAACACCATTAACACACAGAACATGAGCATTCTTCATCCAGACGCCAGCAGAGCGTTAAAAAACACTTTTAATAACGATGGTGAGGAAGGTTTGATATTAAGTCGAAAAAACGTCGTCTCGCTTTAAACGCTGAGATGTCCGAGCCGCATTGAAATCACAATATCAACTAACATGTCCATTTCACACATAACACTAGAAGGCCGTACTATGTCGGTTTAGGTTAGTAACTAGATTGTCTAACGAAATCGTTTTCCGAAAATAAAAATCATCAGGCACAAACCGCCACCTATTGGACAAAATATAATACCGCAGTAGACAAAAACGAGTGATTTTATGGTAAAATAGCGTCTCTGCTGCTAAATGACTAGATGTAAATGTAAATAATCAGCCTGAAAATTCAGCTTTGCCATCACGGGAATAAATTACATTTTAAAACATTAAAATAATCAATATGAATATAGATTATATAATACAATATATATTATAAATAAAAATAGAAAACATTAACATTTTTAATATTTTAACTGTATTTTTGTTGAAATAAATCAATCATTGGTGAGACTTTTAAAAAAATATTATGTTAAGAAAAAGTGAGAAAATACAGCAAAAAGGACAACAAATACTACAACTTGTTCGTTTATTTTCCACAATGTAAAACATGTTTAACCAAACAAATTGTGGCCTTTATGAAGATTTTTTTTTTTTGGTCACAACTCATTGTATGAAGGGAAAACATCATTTTGTTATTACTTGATTAAAATAATACAGTATAGCAATATTTTTAAAAGGCAGTTGCAGAGAATTTAATTGAAGCAATTCGAGCACATGTACATGTAAAATGTACAAGTAAACACACAGCAACATCCAGATCAACAGTTATTCCTACAGAAATTACTGCCAGATCCTAGACAACCCATTTTTCTGTTCTCAGTTCCAATCTTTTGACGAGACCCTCCCCGATGATGCGGAAATCCTGCAGGATGGCTTCTACATTTGGCACGGTGGTTGCCACATCGTCATTCACCTCTACCCGGCGGGCGTTCATTAAAGATGTCTGAGAACACAGAAAATCAGAAGTAAGAAGGTGCCATAAATCTTAACTGTAACTCAGTTTACTTCAATTCTGCCATCCCTACTCAGGGTCATAGTAAATAAAAGCTCAAAATAAAAATGAGAAACCTTAAAGGGTTTCGGCTCAAAGGCAGCTGGCTTCCACAGCACTGCGATCACAGTTCCGCCATACAGGTCGTAGAAAAATAGAGCCAGATCTCCAAATGCTTCCTAAAAATCACAAGAGAACTGGTATAAAATAGATCTGATCTAATTTATGTGGCATTTTAAGTATAACATGGCATAATGGAAAAGATTCAGTAAAAGTGAATTAAAAACCACAACAAACCCGGAGTTCAGACATATACAGTCGGACCGGATCATAGTCTATGACTGGCAGAGCTCCTCCCGAAGTGAACGGTTGTCCTCCATGGGTGCCTCGCCGGAAGGTATTGACAGGAGGATCCACAGCTTTAGCTAACAGAGGAACCTGCTTTGAATCGAGGTGGATCAGAACATCATAAGCCTCCAGAGGAGGTCGAAATGCCACCTAGAAACAAAGCAAATAGTGAGGTTAAAGACAAAAAGATGAGAGTTGCATAAATTTGCATTATACAGGTGGAATATAGAGGAACTGACCCGCATGTCCTGCTTTTCACCGGAGTCGAGCTGAGTCTCTAAAACACGTAGACTCTCTGCTGCCAACATGACGGCACGCTGGAGCATCTATACAGAGATGACAACGTCACTTATGTTTATACACTCTGTACATAGAGCAAATCTATACTAGAATTTGAGAATACTGGATCTACAAACCTGCACAGAAGGAGCCTCTTTAGTCCAAACAGAGACTTTCTTTTCACTGGGAGTGACTATGAACATGGTGGGAAGAGATTCTCGAGAGGCCACAAAGTCATTCTTTATATCTGTTTGTTCAACAGCTGAAACATAAAAACACTCATTTCAATATCCACAGATGTTTCAGGGAGTGCACAGATGATTAGTTCTGCTACTTGTCAGTGTGTTAGATCTAGTCATGGATCAAATGACTTCAGTTGTGCTTGTTCTACACATGACGATAAAAGGAGGACATTTCCTGGTTCCTAATGAAGCTCTGAGAAATCTATTTTGTCACTACTGTTTTTTGGGTCAGTATTTTTTTTTTTAAAGAAATTAATACTTTTAGTCAGCAAGGTTCCATTAAATCAAAAGACAAAGTAAAGACTTTTACATTGTCACAAAAAAATTATATTTCAAATAAATGCTGCTGTTCTGAACTTTCTAACCATCAAAAAATCCTGAAAAAAATATACCCTGGTTTCCATAAAAGTACGAAACAGCACAGCTGTTTTCAACATTGATAATAATGAGAAATGTTTCTTGAGCAGCAAATCAGCATATTAGAATGATTTCTGAAGGATCATGTAACACTGAAGACTGGAGTAATGGCTGCTAAAAATTCAGCTTTGCCACCACAATAATACAATTACATTTTAATATAACCGTTATTTTAATTTGTAACAATATTTCACAATATTACAGTTTTTACTGCATTTTTAATAAAATAAATACAGCCTTGGTGAGCATAAGAGAATTCTTTAAGTCTTTTGAACGGTAGTGTATATTACAAAAACATGTTATAAGCAAACCACACCAGGCACATCAAAACTATAACTATTTTGTGCCGTTCGTGACATGAACCTGTCGGTAGACTATGACCGTTTTCCTTCCCCATCCATGCAGACTTTCCATGCAGCAGAAACTGCATTTATATAAAGTAAACACTGACCTGCTGACTAGTCGACAACTTTTACAACAAAAGTAGTAAAAATGGTTAGTCGTGCAAGCCCTAAAAAGCAACATGAAATACCTGTGAGTTTCCCATTGAGGTTGACTATCAGGGGATTGTTTTTCCAGTCAAAAGTGGAAAGCACATGAAGGAAGCGAAGGAACCCCACCTGAGGAGAGCTGTGAAATGGTGTGGTGTCACTGAATGTATATATATACACCATACAATGATGATTACATGAGTCAGACTACCAAATTACCTTGGTGGAGTGAAGGGAGCAGCATGTAGGAAGAGTGAAGCCACCAGCAGATCAGCTGCTTCCTCTCGGATATCTTCCAACAGAAGGTCGACAGGAAGCGAAGTGGGTGAGAGAGAGGGGGTGGGATCGGGAAAGGTCCGCGAGCCGGGACGGCTATATGTCGGCGCACTGCACACGAGGCCATCGTCGCTGACCTTAAACAGCAATTTCTTTAAAAGAAAATCTCACTTTGCATTGAACTTTGAGTGTTGTAACTTTGCAGACATTGTTTATGCTCTAACAGCAACATTACACACTAACTAAATTTAAAAAACTGAAATCATAATCAACCACCCCTTTAATGCTTGAAATTGAGTCTATGGTAAAACACAAGCTCAAGATATATTCACGTTTGATTCTAAATGTCCTTGCATACGGAGTCCGAAATTTTCGTATGCGTTTTTTTCCTATTCGCCATCCTTTCCTATCAAATTACTTGCTATGGATGCGAAAACGCAGAAAACCGAACCTGATCCGAATTTTTTTTTATGACGGACAAAAGTTTCGAAGGCAGTGTGTAAACGTGATTGACACAACGTGAGGTCGTATTTATTTTTTGGTCGTATTTATTTATATTCTCAACGAGAATTTCGGATTTTGCAAATATCTTGCAAACTATTCTAATTTTAGCTTTCCAACTTGTCTTTTAATCTTTATATGAAATCTGCTTGACAGAAGCTTAGTGTTGGGAGATGTAAAGGTCATTCGACTGTGTAGTTTATTCATATCCTAACTTTAGCTTTTTGTATTTAGATTGTATTTAGGTTTCAACATTCAAAAAAGTTGTGTTCATTTGTGAAGATTTTGTGGGTGAATAAATTTTGTAAGAATTATAAACTTCAACTGGTCATAGAGTTTTTCGGCAATAATCCAAAAGTCAAAGTCAAAGTCAAAAAAATATCACACAACTGAATATAGCCGAGGAGGTGACTGACCTGTGTGTATCTTAAGGCCTGGTGGGCACCCTGCACTGACGTGATAGACAGTGGCAGATCCTTCAACTGCCAGAGCTTCTTGCTCAGATCATCGTAAGATTGAACCACCTCCAGACTCTCCTCCTCTCCTGTAGTGTGGTTCTGGGGGACAAAGACACACCATGAACTTGTGCAGATGAATCATTACCATTTGATGAGTACCACATTCACTTCTATAAAGTACCTGTATGCCACATCCAATGACAACATCCAGCTGTCCACCAACAAACATGATGCATGAGTTGGGGATATCTGCATGACTAGAAAACAACAAATAACACTTTTATTATTTCTATGAGAAAGTAGTTAATGGAAAAACGGTAACAATAAAAAGTAACTACAATGTTACAGAGTACTACCTTGAAATGAATATTCAGGTTAATTCTGATTTACTAGCTTTCATTTCGAGATGATTACAATTTATTAGATTCTGACTCATTTGGGTATCTTCAGTATTGATATCCATTTTATTACATATCAGTGTCAAGTATTATTTACATACTATTCTGCAGGTTTTATGAAGCTATATTTAAGACTTTAGGAATATTTAAGGAATAAATTGAAGGTAACACAATGTTATGTTCTCTAAATGTAAAGATCTAAAAAGAACACAGTATATCAGGAAGATGCTCCCAACCACTAGAATATGTTAATAACTTTTACTGTACCTTCTGATAATGCTGAATAAAAGTGATGCTCTTCCACAGTATCTGTGTTGTCTTGTTTTCCAGAGCAAATGTCTAGTTTCTTAAATTAAGATACATTTACTTGAGAAGCCAAATGACATTAGTTAAGAATTTATTGTGAAACTGATTAAAATTAAGTTTATGATTTACAAAAGGCCCAGAATAGGCTTGGAAAAATCTACTTAATTCAAAAGGGAAAACAAGTTATCATATACCCCATTGACAGATATTTAATTTGTTATATGCATAAACTCATTTTGCTCAGGTTTTTTCCCATTTGCATCTTAAGTAAATGCATCTTGATTTAAGGATATATTTGTACTGGAAAACAAAACTACAGAGGAAGATTCATTTTTGGCAATGCATGTAACATTTAATTCCATGACTTGAATTTAAGCCTTTCTGCTCTGATTTAAGACCTTTTCAAGGCCTTAAATGATGCAAGGGCAAATTAAGACTTTGTTTGCCTTTTTAAGACCTACAGAAACCCACCCTTTTATTAATATTTTGAATTGAGTTTTTCTTATTTTGCTGTTTTAGTTTGAATTTTACAGTATTTTTTGTTTTAGCAATTAGCTTTTTTTCCACCTAAAATGTATATTTAATTTAAATTTCCAAAGATATCATTTCTAAACATTAAAAACAGGGCCCAAGGTATGAAATTCAACTGCTACTTAACAAATCGAATAATCAAAACTGTTCGGCAGACACTAACTGAAATAAACTTTAAAGAAAACGAATTGCTACGATTGTGAATTGGCTAAAATACACCTTTAGAAACTGTGTATTCAAGTAAAGTAACAGCCAGAATAGAGACGTACAGCTCTAGCAGGTGAGTGATGATCTTCAGTACAATGAATCTCCTCTGAGAGATGGAGTTACTTGACCACAGCACTGCCTCAGTGATGGCTCCATCCTGGAAGCGCCGCAACTGTGAGCGAGAGCCCCACAGCTGCCGGAACTCAGCTGCCTTCAAACACCAACAACAGAGAGGGTTTTCAGACATCGCTACAGAACTGTTGGACACATACACAAGACATCTGTACATATGTGGGCTAGTTTACCTTAGGGTTATCTGCTGGTGGTCCTCTCTCGAGAACAGAGAGAGCATGTTCAAGGTTCAGCAGCAAACCAATGTTCAGAGGCGGCTGGTCCTTGTGCTTAGGAGGTGCACTGTCCACTGGCCACTGCAAAACCATTAACATGGATTATAACAACATATCCAGACTGTTTAGGAATGCTCTGATAGGTGAACCAGCCAGTCCTATTCATTTGACCAACCAAAGGAAATGTTATTGATAATGAATCTACCTCAGGGTCTTGAGGGAGTGAGTGTACCAGAAGGTGGATCCTTTCTCCAAGCCCTCGCTGCAAGAGGGACAAAACGAAAGGAAGTGCAGTGAGGACATAGTTCCCGCTGTGGTCCATGAGCTCATTGAGGAGTAAAAGCTTTTTACAGGAGGTCTGCAATTTCACCAGGTTAACCAGTCTGCCAAAGAGAGTGAGAAAGAGAGTTTGAGAATACATGAATACAAAAACAAAAGAGCAGCAGGTCTGTGTCGACAGAAACTTACTTAAAGACATTATCATATGTTCGGAGCATGGATTTGGGTGTCATGAGCAGAGCCTGGAAGCCATCTACTGTTGGATCATCCCAGAACGTCAGAGAGAGTGATGCCTCATGTTGGATCTGACAGACAAAATTAAGATTATTCAGAAACATTCAGATTATGGCTGTCAAATCATTAAAATTTCAATGTCAATAAATTTATCAAATTAATGAAACAAATATGTGACAAGTATTATTATTACAGTATTTACTAATATTTTAATTATTGAATTTAAATTTTTGCTTTAGTAAACCATTTATATATTAGTAATACTGTTGCATTTTGGTCATTTTTATTAGTTTGTAATATTCTAATCTAATATTTATTTAGCTTTCGATTTTTATTTCAGTATTAGCAATTTTAATACTTAAGCTTTTTTTTTTGTTATTTGCCAAGGAAACATTTCAAATTTTAATTTAGTTTAGTTGTTCCTGTAACATTTTATTTTATTTCAGCTTTATTTCAATTAACACATTTTTTTTAAATTTTTTAATAATGATAATAACTGCAGTATTGTGGCATATAAGTAAATCTTGGACTACAATACTGCTCCACTGGTAAAAAAATCTCTTATGCAGTTCTTATATACTGGCCTGACTGTGTTCATTTTTTAGCTTTTATTTTAATTCTACTAAAATAACATGTTAAATTTACATTACTATAAGTAAGTGAAAATCACATTATCACAGAGCTGCAGTGATACTACAGCGGTGCTCACCCGTTTGTAGGTAAAAGCTGTCATGTCTGCAAGCAGATTGAGATGCCCAGAGGGATCCACAAATACCACAGAGAATGCTGCATGAAACTCCGGCAGTGAAGGCTGAATCAGGAAAAAAGAAAAAGAAAGGCACGGTGATTTAACCAAGACAAAACAGGCTAAAACAGCAAATAAATGCTTGAGTCACTTCTGCTCACCGCTTTTGAGTCTGGGTTTTTAGCCAAGGTGATACCGTTCTCCGTCAGATCTGTGGAAGCTGAAAATGTGAAAGCAAAAAGCAGATATATTGATTAATACACATTAGTGCTGTCAAACAATTAATCGCATCCAAAATAAGTTTTTGTTTACATAATATATGTATGTGTACTGTGTTTATTATGTATATATAAATACACACACATATAGTATATATTTAAAATATTTACATGTATATACATTGATATATTTATATTATTTTATTATATATAAATATATTTAATATATAAACACAACATATTTTTCTTAAATATATCCATGCATGTGTTTGTATTTATATATACATAATAAACATAGACAGTATACACACATATATTAAGAAAACAAAAGCTTTTATTTTGGATGCGATTAATCGTTTGACAGCACTAATACACATATATAACCACCAAAATAACAAGTTATGAAAATAATTTTGACCTCTCTTACCAAAGAAGTTCAGTGCATTCCTCAACAGCTGGTAGGGATTCATGGTTTTGCCCACTTTGTGTGTGGACAAAAGATATGCCATTAACATTGATGCATGGAAGCCGCAGAAACAACCTGCACCCTAAAGAAGCAACAGAAACAATTTATTAAAAAAAATAAAAAACGTAAGAAAAAAAAAAAAGAGTATGTGTTGTTTGTTCCTTTTGTCTGACTGCAGAAAAAAAAATTTCTTCAAAAAAGAAAAGTTTGCAAGAACAAGCAGTCTGGCAGTTGTTTAATATTTTTGTGGAAAGAAACTGCATTAAACAAATATACAATATTAAATGTCAAACAAATCTAAAGTCCAGCTAAATGTTTCATTGTCCCTCCAACTTTAAGGGATAGTTCAGCCATAAGTTCACCCCTCATGTTGTTCCAAACCCCTAACACCTTCGTTCATCTTCAGAACACAAATTAAGATATTTGTGATGAAACCCGAAAGCTTTCTGACCCTGCACACCAGCTAGGTAACTACCAAGTTCAAGGTCCAGAAATGTAATAAGGACATCGTTAAAACAGTCCATGTGGAACAGTGGTTCAACCTTAATTTTATGAAGCTCTTCAGAACACAAATTAAGATATTTTTGATGAAATCCTAGAGCTTTCTGACCCTCCATAGACAGCAACGGAGCTATCACAGTCAAGGTCCAGAAACGTAGCACCTCAATAAAATAGGCCATGTGACATCAGTGGTTCAACCGTAATTTTAGGAAGCTACGAGAATACCTTTTGTGCACAAAGAAAACAAAAATAATGACTTTATTCAACAATTTCTTCTCTTCCGTGTAGCGTCTCGACCAATCTGACACACTAATTTATACACTTAAAGGCAATGATCAGATTCTTGTTTCAGAACCAGTGATATATCTTTTTTTTTAAGATTACTTGATTTCTTTTCTGCGCTTGCAGCTCAGACAAAGCGAAATGTTTTGAAGTGAGCAAGAAGTTGGTGGAAGTCTATCAGTCGGAGAAGAACTATTTACAGGTGTGATCTTTAAATATAAGGACTTGATGTTACAACTAGATTTAAGATTTAAGTGGATATAACTTCACTGTCTGTTACCTACACAAAATAATCTACACATTATTTCCAAAGTCACCATCAGGCTTTATATCTGCATATGTGTGAAATGTTTGCTACTCTACCCATAGGTGGCCCGAGTGTGGAGGAGGTTAATCCAGGTGAGGGAGGCAGAGGAAGGGGTGGAGAATTCAGAGCTGCTGGAGCTGTGGAAGGAGATGACCAGACTCTTGCAGGACACGGTTGAGGATCAGGACAATGAGACTCAACAACACGTCAGTCGATTTCACCTGTCTCAAATACTGCTTTTTGAGAATTTTGTGGAAAAAAAGGGCTTTTTTTGTACGTGGCCACAATTTAGTGTCACCACATGCATTTTTACAAAGCTTACAGTGTGTATTTATTTGCTCCACAGCTGATATCAGCATTTGAAAGAGCTTTGCAATTGATAGATGTGCCCAGTGAAGCCCACAGGAGCCTTTCACAGGACTACATTAAATGTCTTTCCAAGGTTGGCAAGCTGTATATGCCACAATTATTGTAATATTTATCATAATAATGACTGGACCAAAGCAAATGTTTTATTTATGTATCCTGCAGCTTCCTCATGAGGTGGCCAAGCTAAAGGAAGTTTGTGATGCCACGCTGTCCCGCTATCCGACACACTCCTACCCTCTAGAGGCCCTCAGTGAGCACTACATCAGAACAGGTCAGTTTAGGTCAAATGAAGTCAATGGGATAAAAAAAAAAAACACACACACACAAAATTGGCAAATGCTGGATGGCCAGTAATTTTTTTTATACTCCTATTTCATTGTTTATCCTTTTTTTGGATCTACATTACAATTCATAAGTTTGGGGTCAGTAAGATTTTCTATAAAGCGCCAAATCAGCATATCAGAATGATTGGATCATGATCAAGAAGGATTTGTTAAAATACATGTATTTTTTTAATTCATTGAAATAGAAAACAGTTGTTTTTATTTGTAATAATATTTCATAATATTATAGTTTTTACTGTATTTTTAATCAAATAAATTGTCTTTATGAGACTTGTATCAGAAACATCATACTCTAAACTTTTGAACAATAATGTAAGTACAAGAATAATCCTGTTTCTGAAAACATAAAACTCATGTTGAGTATTTCTAAATAAACACAGCTCTCAGATAACTGATCTCGTCTCTGATGATCCTGGTAGGTGACTGCAGTGAGGAAGCTGCGAGCTGTTTCAGCCGTCTCTCGGAACTGGATCCAAACAACTCACACGCTCACTTTGGTCTTGGTATTAAAGCTTGTCAGGATAAAAAATATGAGGATGCCATCAAAAGTATTAGTCTAGGTGAGTTTATAAATACCATAAAGAATTCACAGATGTTTTGTGATTTGCTCCAATATGGATGGAGGTTATCAAAATTTTTCAAGCTTCTTGATAAGAATGTTTCAGACCAGAGGTCAAGTATATAATGCAAGAAATGCAGTGTATCAAATTAATAGAATGCATTTCTTGATTCATTTTGATAACTAAAAATGTGTTTTAATAACTCTTTGATTTTTGTTCATGTTCAGCTATACAACATTAATTAAACTCCTAGCAGTATCTAACTATACTGTACAATGTAAATCACAAATAATGTGTTTAACTCTTTTGTTGTGTTTTTCCTGCAGGATTGAAGCGTATGCGCTCCTCCATCATTGGCTGGTATAATCTTGCTCTGGCTCAACTAAAAATGCATAAATACTCTGACAGTGCCACAGCTTCCAGCCAAGGTACTGCATGATAAAAAAAACTACACATCTAAAACACAGCTAACATGATATCTACTCAATCAGCTGCACTAACAGGGTGGAAAAGGGCTGTTCTCAGAAATATTCTGTTTTGTGTCTTCAGGGCTGAAGTCGAGTGTGGGGAACTCTGATGATTGGACTCATAAGCTGCAGAGGTTGAAACTAGAGGCTCTGGTAAGGACAGGAAGAGACCAGGATGCTGAGGAAGCTCTGCAGATCCTTACACAGGTATCGTTTTAAACCAAAGACTGACACAGATCTGCAGTCTAACAACAGATTTTTTTGAAAGAAGTCTTAAAAGCTCACCAAGGTTGCATTTGATCAAAAATACAGTGAAACGGTATTATTGTAAAATATTATTACAATGTAAAATAGCTCTTTTCTGTTTTAATATTTTAGTTTATTCATGTGATGGTAAAGCTGAATTTTCAACAGATATTACTGCAGTCTTCAGTGTCACATGATAAATCAGTTTAATATGCTGATTTGGAACTAAATAAACATTATGAATAATTACGAATGTTGAAAACATGTTGAAAGATGTTGTGCTGCTTAATAATTTTGTGGAAACACAAAAATACATGTTTTATTTAATAAAAAAAAAAATTCTTTGATGAACAAAGTTCACAAGAGCAGCATTTACAATTCACAGAGTAGCATTTTTACAATTTAATACATCCTTGCTGAATAAAAGGTTTCATTTCTTAAAAAAAGATAAATGAATATTAATAATTGTTTGATGGTCTATTTGATTTACATAATGTTCATGATGACTCCTTTTAGATTTCAGATGCCAAAAATGACCCAGTGCTTTTAGCTTTGAAAGGAAGAGCTCACTTGCAAAAAGGCCAAACTGAGGAAGCATTTCAGGTGAAACATTTTCTTTTAACAGGAAAGGAATTACTGGAATTTAATCTTCAAATAACACGATAGATTAGATGTTTAAAAAAACCCAAAGTAGACCAGATCTTGTTTAAATGAAATGATCCTTACAGGTTTCAGCTGAGCTGCTGAGCTCTCACCCAGGATCTGTGGAAGGTCTCACTCTGAAGGGGCTGGTGCATGTTGCGAAAGAACAGCACAAACAAGCTGAAGAAAGGTGTGAAACCCCTTCTAAACACACACACACATGCAGTATAAAAACCCGAAATAGATTTAAACACTAAACACTGATCCTCTCGTCTTATCTTTGTCTCACAGCTTTCTAGAGGCTTTATCCGGTAGCCCAGATAATGGGGAGTTGTTCTTCCTGATGGGGCGCCTGTTCTGGAACATGGGAGAGGAAATGCGAAGGGATCGCAGCAAAGCCCATACACATTTACTCAAGGTCAGCAATATCAGACCTTATGCTCTTTATCCTTGCATATAGACTCCAGAGTCTTTTCTCTTGGAATAGAAATAAGTGATGACTTGTTTTCTGTTATTTTAAGGCTGCTAAACTGGACCCGTATCTCGGTTCAGTGTTTCGTTTTCTGGGTCATTACTATAGAGAGGTGGCAAAAGATCAGGGCAGAGCCAGAGGCTGCTATAAGAGAGCGTTTGAGCTGGATTCCTCTGATGCAGAGTCTGGAGCGGCTACTGTAGACCTCAGCATGGAGCAGGGGGACATGGTGAGTGTTAAAAGTCTTGTAATCCAAGATGGTCCCATTGAGGGTATCCCTTGCTTATTTTTTTCCCCCTTCAAAGTTGCAACAAGAACTTGTTGTAGATGCTGTAGAAGACACAGAGTTCCTGTAAAAGTGGTTTATTGACTGTGTGTTGTGTTCTCTGCTCTTAGGACTCGGCTCTGACTGTTCTGCAGTCTGTAACAGAGAGAGCCACTCCTGGCTCTGCTAAATGGGCCTGGATGAGGAGAGGGCTCTACCACCTCAAGATTGGCCAGCATCAACAGGCCATTGCAGAGTAAGTGAATTGATTTCACCTATAAAGCATAAGTGGTAATAAAATTTGTTTAACTGGGCCTGGATGGTGAGCTCAGCAGATATTTTAAAGATCTTATTTAATGTAGCTGCGTTAACATTGGCAGTTATAACGATGCAAGACGTTAATAGGGTTTTCTAAAATGTTATTAATAGTAGGCCTATATAATTGAATTACATTCTCAGTATTTTGTGCCATTTGGAAATATATTAAACTTTTGTCATCATCATTTACTCACCCTCGTGTTGTTACAAACCTGTATGAGTTTCTTTCTTATGTTGAACATAAAAGAAGATATTTTGAAGAATGCTGGTAATCAAACAGTTGATGGTCCCTATTGACTTATTTCTTTCCCTACTATGGAAGTCAATGGTTACCAACAACTGTTTGGTTCTTCAAATGTCTTCATAATATCTTCTTTTATGTTCAACATAAGAAAGAAACTCATACAGGTTTGGAACGATGTAAGTAAATGATGAGTAAATGATGACAATTTTCATTTTTGGGTGAAATGTTCCTTTAAGAAAATAGCTTTTGAATTCAACTCCTGAATTTGAATTAAGGTAGCACATATTTGCTAAACATTTTAATACTTGTTTAATGTTTGGAATTTTGTTTTATTCATTTAATTGTTTTTCATAAATTAGCCTTCATTTCATAGACCAGATTGGAAGAAGAGTTCATTTCCCAGAATCCCACAATTAATTTAGCCTTCAAGACCCACTTTCTCCAGAGAAGACTTCACCAAAATTTAAATGTGGGGGTTAAAAATGTTTAGATAATAAAATGTAAAGATGTTAAGTATATGGTTTATTTTATTTTATTTTCATATCTTAAGGACTTTGTACACCAAAAGTCTAAAAGTTAGCCATGATTCTGCTTTGGTTTTAGTCTGCAGGCGGCGTTGAGGGCAGATCCTCAGGATTGGGTGTGCTGGGAATGTTTAGGTGAGGCTTACCTTAACCGCAGGAGTTTCACAGCAGCCCTGAAAGCATTTGATAAAGCACATACTCTGCAGCCCACCTCCATCTATAGCCTCTATCAGACCGCTGCCATCAAACAGATCCTCGGCCGGTTTAAAGAGGCCGCTGCAGAGTACAGGCAGATCTTAGAGCAGGAGGACTACGTGCCGGCATTGAAAGGTTTGTGTGATTTGTGCAGTAATCTCTCAGGTTAATGACCATTTCATCCAGTATTCAAATTTATAGTGTTTCATAAAGCATCCTTATCATATTCTCAGGTCTGGGTGAATGCTTGCTAGCCTTGGCTAGAAGTGCACTTGATGACTATCTTGATGGAAGAGCTGTAGATTTGATACAGAATGCCATCCATTACCTTTTCAGGTAAACAGGAAGGTGCACTGGGTAAAGGGAATATTTGTGTTTTATTTTGTGAAGTGGTGTCTGACCATGTGAGATGAGTTGGATGGATGTCATCCAGCAGGTACTGATCAAATCTCAATCTTTGTTTCAACATTCCAGAGCTTTAAAGCAAAGGCCAGACCTGTCGTGTCTGTGGAAGTTACTAGGTGATGCCTGCACCACCTCCAGAACTGTGTCCCCAAACCGAGCCAAAGTGCTGGTGCCTGGAGCTCTATGTGGAATGGATCCACTTGATCAGGGCCATACACTGGACCAGAGACAGCTCCTCACTCTAGGAGAAAGGTAAAAGAGTAGAACCATATTAAACTAAATGGCGAAGAGAAGATTGTGGGCCTTCCCATAAAATAAAAAAAATTAAATAATAATATTCCTATGTTTTACCAGGTGCTTTGGTCGTGCTTTGAAACTCATGCCGGAGGCCCCTAGTCTGTGGTGTGACCTTGGCCTGAACTACTACCACCAATCCAGACTGCTCAGCTGCCTCAATCCTGAAGAGGATCAGCAGCCTCTGCTGGAGAAAGCCATACAGGTACATGACCTGATCTGGGATCAGTCATTTGTAATGCTTTCATGAAGATGTGTTAACAGGCTGCTTTGGTTTGGCTCTGTTCTGACAGTGTGTGAAGAAGGCGATCATGCTCGACAGTGCAAATCACACATACTGGAATGCCCTCGGGGTGGTCTCCATGGCAAAGGGTAGATAAAAATATACATTTGATGTGCATAATCGCATTAGTCTGGATTATATAACGGTGTTGTGATGGACTGTTCTTGTGTTAATTGTATATTCTGCTTTTATATTTTAGGAATAGAAAACTTTGCACTTGCACAACACTGCTTTATCAAATCGGTAAAAGCGGAGTCAAATGTAAGTAATGCAAGAAAAATAAACTCTTTCTTCACTTTTTAAACATTTGTTTTGATGCAACTAATGTATCTCCTGGTTATTTTTCAGAATGTGGTTGCATGGACCAACCTTGGTGCTTTGTATCTGAAGAAGGGAAATATAGAGGTAATATGATTTTTGTCAAGTTATTAGCTTGACTTCACATGATTTAGAGAACCACGCTGATAGTCCTTTTTCTACATTATTTTTTTTTAGCTCTCGCATGAAGCTTTTAAGATTGCTCAGTCTCTAGAACCCCTCTATGTGAACTGCTGGATCGGACAGGTAGACTTTAGTTCAGACCGATAGTTCACATAACATCCAGTGCCCTTTTTTATTCAAGTATGACACACAGAACATCTAACTTTTTTCTCATTATACAGGCCCTGATTGCTGAGTCAGTGGGCAGTTATGACACCATGGATCTTTTCAGACACACCACAGAACTGAGCACTCATGTATGTCTAATCACTTCTGAAATATACACAGTTATTCAAAAGTTTGAGGTCTGTACGCTTTTTAAAATAAGTTTCTTATGCTCTCCAAGGCTGTATTTATTTGTTTAAAAAACAGTGATATTGCAGTAATTACAATATTACTGTAATATTAATTCAATTTAAATGAGCTGTTTTCTATTTGCATATATTTTTAAATGTAATTTATTCCTGTGATGGCAAAGCTGAATTATCAGCAGCATGTACTGACCAAAACTTTTGAACAGTTGTGTAGTTTTTTGTTTAGGTTCAGATTATTGATCAATGTTCTACTTGCAGTAACATGTTTATTTGATATTAGACCGAGGGAGTGAAGGGTTATGCATATTGGGTTTGCTCCACACTGCTGGACAGGAGCAACAGAGACTCCGAGATCTACCTCTACAACATAGTCCAGATGAACGCTGTCTCTGCTGCCCAGGTGGCTCTGAGCAAGTACACCGGTATGAGAAGAACACAAACACAGCATACTGTTTTAAGATATTGCAAGAGTATTTATGGGTCTGTCATTTATTGTCTGATCTCAAACAATTTTGTTAAATAAAAAAAAAATAATAATAATACAATATTGTCTTTAACCAAAGTTAAAAGTAAGTTTCTTTGTCTCACTCATATAAAAAAAACAACTAATACATAATATATATCTGTTACCATTATGAAGTATGTAAATATATTAATATGGCACTATATGCATGTTTTATAGACCAGGCTAAAAGGATATTTAGCCTGAAAGCAGTTAAAGACCCCTGATATATAGAATGATTTCACCAGGAATGCAGGTGGAATGGCTAGATAAAATAAAAAATGTGTTTCTCCCTAAATATTAAGGAAATGATCCATGTGACAATGACAAATTATTTAAAGATGAAGCGAGGTAATGAAGCTCAGTGTGCTCTCTTTGTTTCACACCAGAGAGGGTTCAGACAGACCCAGATGCCTTCATCATGCTCGGATACCTGAACACACACCTGCAGCTGAGGAAACAGGCCACTGAGGCATATCGCAGGTTTGCCACCTCTAGCTATTTATACATTTGGAAATTCTGCCCAGCCAGATGGACAGGAAGTCTACTTGACAAATTTGAAACCGTAAATTTGAAACTGGAATTAATAAAAAGTAAAATTATTGATTTTTTTTTGTAACATCACAATTTTTTTTATATTAGGTCTTTTATGTTATGCTCCAGGCCCAATTGTATTATCACATTCAGCATGAATTAATGTTCATATATATATATATATATATATATATATATATATATATGCATTTTTTATATTTTTATGTTTTTTTTATATTTGACATGAAACTTTTTTTATGATTTATAAAAATACATATATATAGTTCATATTTATTAAAAAATTAATGCCTAATATTTGCTGCTGAAAGTTTCTGACACTGATCTGGACCACACTGGTATTAAATCATTCTTGGATATATTCTGTTCTCCAAAGAGCTGTCGAGTTGCTTCAGGCATCCCCTCACACAGATAAGCTCAGCTTTGCTCTGAGGGTTTATGGACGTGCACTCAGGTAAAACTCACTTCGTACAACTATGCCATCAGTCATTTCATCTACAATGCTATTAGATTTTATTAGTGCGAAATAATGTTTTTTTTCTTATGTTGCTGTCAGTGATGATGGACGGTGGGAAGAAGCAGTGCGTATTTATTCCTCCACACCACTAGAGGAGCTGCATGATCTCATTGGGCTGGCGCTTGCCTATTTCAGAATCGGTCGCATGCCAGAAAGTGTTCAGGGTGAGCAGTCATTGCCATTTCGCGATTGTTGACTGTTACCATCAATGCCTTCTGAAAGTACTCAAGCATGTGATTGTGTATGTTTCTGAGGGTGTTTGTGTGCCTATTTCCAGCCTATGAGAAAGCCCTCGCAGTTGCCTCTAGCGAGAAGGAAAAGGCCTGTATACTCACTGCACTGGCCCTGATACAGCACAGGCTGGGCAACATTGATCATGCCAAAACTCTTCTCTTCAAGTGGTAACATAATGACTCAACTGTCTCAGAGCAACACGCTTTCTGCTTTAGCCATCAAAAGCAAAGCCTTTCTCCTCTTGTTTATGTTTGTGTGTGTGTAGCTCCATGCTGAAAGAGCCTGTCTCAGAGAGTCTGCAGTGTCTGTGTTCTCTGGGTTTGGTTCATGGGGAAGTGACCCTGGCAAGTGCTACGCTTACTGAGCTGCTAAAACTGGGGGAACATGTAGGAGGCGCTGTGGAGGAGCGTTGTCTGCTCACTTGCACCCTGCTGGCCCTGCAGGGCAACTATAGCGGCGTACACAGGGAGGCTGCTAGGGCTATACACAGGTAATTTATAATATTTAGAGATACGGTGTCTCCTAATTTGATACAACGTGATAAAACAACAAGAATCTATTTCTTTTGCTTAATCTGAGTTTTTGTTTTAGCAAAATGCAACAAACAATACTATAAATTATCATTGTCCAAAAATCTTTCTTCGCATATCTATTATATAGTATATTAGTATTTTAAAGCAAAAGTACATATTATATTAAGTACGATTCATTTTAAGATATCCGATATGTCTGATTACCTGTAATTTTGTTGCATAGCATCTTTCATCATGATTCCCTCCTGAAAAATAAGTGAATTTATTAGTCTTTATATTATTAAATTAATACTTTCATACGTCAAAGGACACATTAAATTGATCAAAAGTGAACTTCCTGTTCATGAAAGAATCCTGAAAAATGTAGCATGGTTTATAAAAAAAATAAAAAATGAAGCAGCAAAACTGTTTTCAATATTGACAATAATAATAAATGTTTCTTGAGCAGCTAATCAGCCATACTAAAATGATTTGGAATGACTGCTGAATATTGAGCTTTGGTATCACAGGATTAAATTACATTTTAAGATATATGTAAATAGAAAGAAGTCATTTTAAATTGTAATAGTATTTCACAATATTACTGTTTTTACTGTATTTTTGACCAAATAAATGCAGCCTTAGTGAGCATAAGAGACTTATTTAAAAAACATTACAAATCTTACTGACACCAACATTTATTATTATATTATATTATATTATAAAATGGCTAGTTGTTGCAGAAAAATTGCTTGGAGCCAGATTGAGATCAAAATAGACTTTTAGTTGTTGCTGATCAGCTGAAGCCCGGACTCTTCACTTATTGAATATTTGTTATGTCTTGTTGAGTAGGGAACTGAGGACTTTAATTAAATTAAATGCTTCTCTTTATTTGTCCAATAGCAAGTGACCTTTCAATGTCCTCCTTTAATCTACATCCTACAAAGGTTTGAAAACACTCAAATGCTATTAAAGGGAAGATGCTTTAATCTAATTAAGCTCAGGTATGAATCGTTGCCTTTGGTTAATTAACCCAAATGTCAAATGAGGTACCAGAACACACCAGAATAACAAGAATTCTTCTTTTTCTTCTGTGAGCCATTTTTTATTATAAATATGTGTTTGACATCTGCTATGTTGTAGGAACCCAGGAAATCCTTCTCTCTGGGCTCTTCTCTCCAGACTGGTCCCACAGTACTGCCCCAACAAAGCCAAAGTAAGTATTCTCACATCGGCTTTTGCACATATTTTAGGAGAAAGGGAATAGTTCACCTGTTATGAAAGTATTGACCATAAGTGTTCTTATTTTCATCAGGGAGGTGCTGTGGCTGGCAGTGTGGCGTGTCATGCCAGCTTGACGCTTGGAAAGGTAATTTAACATTTGTGGATGGATGAACTCTTGTGTCAAGTTCTGTGTCCATTAAAGAGTTAATCTCTTTTCATCTGTAGAGGGCGTTGCTGTACAGTGGAGTGAATCAATTGGCCTCAGGCCGGCACTCTGGTGAGGACAGAAGACACAACGCTCTGAAAACAATCCAGAGAGCTGTGCTGCTGTGCCCAGGTAAACGGAGTAACAGTCAGACACTCTGGATCAGTTCTGAAGTTAGCTGCTGAACAAGTTACTAACTCGACGATTTGAAAGATTCAAAAACAGACTTTCCAAGACCCATATCTCATAATTCCCTAACACAGACTAATAGCAGACTTCCAGACCAAGACTAGACCCTTTGAGGCCCAGGACACTGACCAAGATGTCTTTCCAGGAAGTCAGTTCTCTTAGTAAAATGTCATACTGTAATAGTGACTTTAAAGTGTGGGACCCTTGAAATATACAAACCAGAATTTATGCCAGAGTTGTAATGAGTTTTGGCTTCTTGTTCAGGAAGGTTATTAATGCAGTTTTGGACAGAACACAGTCTTCTATAACCCTAAAACGATTAAAAAATATTCAATTTGGATAGTAAGAACCTTGCATTAAACGTGTCAGCAGGAGTATTTGCCAAGTGTAATGCAGAGAGGCCTATGTGAAATTTTGAGATGAGAGAGGAGACACTGAGACATCGATATATCAGCCAGATGAAAGATTTGTCTGCTGCCTAAGTCGGATGGCAGTGATTCAGTGATGGATTGATGTGTCCTCTGTCTTTCTCTCTGTATGACAAATGCAGATGATCCTGCTGGGTGGGCGGGGCTAATGGCTGCCTGTCACACAGAGAACACTGCATGCTTACTCCAAGGCTCCGCCCCTCGCAGAGAAGATCTGGAGAGGGCGCACATGACTCTGGTGTCTGAAAAAGGTCAGTGAGACTTGAGAATGTCATGTCAGTGTATTTGAATATATGCTGATGGGAGCATGGTTTTAAAACTATGTGCTGTATGTACGGTCTGTTCTCAGTGAAGGGCCTGCAGGCAGAGGATGGGCTCTTGGCTCAGGCTCTGGAGGGATGGGTGCTGCAGCAGGCCGTGACTGGACTCAAACAGAGTGGCCAATATGACCAGGCAGAGACTCTCTGCTCCCAGGTACACACACACACACACAAACACACGCATGCTTTCTCTTTCTATGTCACGCTGTCCCCTACTGATGAGTCTCTCTTGTGTGAATCGGGCACAGGTCCAGACACAGACGGGCTGACCTGTTCTTGGGTTTCAAAGCAGAACAGTTTCATGCGCTGACACGGCACCATCTGTCTAATATCCATATATTGTGGCTGTCTATCTACTCATAATGCTTGAGCTGTTCTCCTTTGAAGTGTATTTGTAGAACAGCAGTGTCCAGTATTGCTCCTGAAGGGCCAATGTCCTAGCCAATGAAAATTCATGATACTGCATTTAAAATCTAAATGAAAAATAGTATATGTAAACTATATGATTTAAACTAAATCGGCAGATTTTGTAATGCTCGTGAGAGATGACAGTCACTACATGCTTCTCACAGTGAATGGCTGCTGCCTGCTGTTTGATGCTTCTCGTTTGCATAAATTTGAGCTTTTCCCAACAGTTAGATGCTCTTGGTCGCTCTAAACAGGTTCTTCAATTCACTGTCAATCCCATAGCTCCAGTACAAAAGAGTTGAAACTCTGCTCCACTCACTCGTTGCCAATGGACACATACCGCAAAACTTGAAATAGAGGTGTCAGACGAAGGAAACATTGAATATGTACAGTGTCGGGGGCCTCCAGGAACACGGTTGAAAACCACTGATCAAACTTAACTGGTTTTATACAACTCAAAATGCTATTTTATGTCAGACTGCATTAGGTTTCACTAATGAAAGTATTTGTTAATGGTTAGATCGAAGTGGATCTTTAAAGGAGTCATGAAATGCCTTTGTTTTTTATTTTGTACTGTTCTCTGAGGTCCACTTATAATGTTATCAAGATTTTTACATCAAAAACTTAATTTAGAAGTAATAGGCTATTTTCTGTTCTGTTTTTAACTCCCCTCATCTGAATGCTCTGTTTGAATAGGCTTGGTGGATTGAAGTATAAAAGAGTTGAAACTCTGCTCCACTCACTCGTTGCCAATGGACACATACCGCAAAACTTGAAATAGAGGTGTCAGACAAAGGAAACATTGAATATGTACAGTGTCGGGGGCCTCCAGGAACACGGTTGAAAACCACTGATCAAACTTAACTGGTTTTATACAACTCAAAATGCTATTTTATGTCAGACTGCATTAGGTTTCACTAATGAAAGTATTTGTTAAGATCCAGACAAAGGAAACATTGAATATGTACAGTGTCGGGGGCCTCCAGGAACACGGTTGAAAACCACTGATCAAACTTAACTGGTTTTATACAACTCAAAATGCTATTTTATGTCAGACTGCATTAGGTTTCACTAATGAAAGTATTTGTTAATGGTTAGATCGAAGTGGATCTTTAAAGGAGTCATGAAATGCCTTTGTTTTTTATTTTGTACTGTTCTCTGAGGTCCACTTATAATGTTATCAAGATTTTTACATCAAAAACTTAATTTAGAAGTAATAGGCTATTTTCTGTTCTGTTTTTAACTCCCCTCATCTGAATGCTCTGTTTGAATAGGCTTGGTGGATTGTAGACTCAAAAGTAAACGCCCACTGCTATGATTGGCTAATAGTTGTGTATGTTTGACAGCCTACGTCCTTTACAAATGGACGCTGCTGTGATTTATGTTAAAACGCATAAATACTCATATCAAACGCAATAGTGATCATGTAATAAAGACAGTTACTCACACTTGTGTGTTTTGCGACATTACTGCCGGATCCAATATAGTCGGCGCAGCATCATCTTTTAGTTTCAATCTTTGCCTTGTGTGTAAACGAATCCATGGTAAAATGCAGTGAACAAATGACCAAGTTCTTACTGACGTGGTCTGGATCTTCAGTAAAAACATACTTCATCCACTTTTTCCTAACGTTGTGATCAGAAGAAAGGCAATGCAAAGACTGTTTCCCTCTCCCACAACTTGGCACTGCACAGCGTCTTGTTATCTTTGGAGCCATCTTTTATCATTTGGTTTCTGTGCATTCACCTCTCTCGTAAACACTACATGTACAAATCGGTGGGCTGGGCTAAACAGGCAGCGATGTAAAAGCAGGCGTTGATCTTCTTCTGCGGAGGCAGTGTTTAGCCACAAACCTTTAAGGTAACAATTACCATTTTAGTGTTTACCGTTTTCAGTGTTGCAATTCTAGAAAGTCTCCTGAGCATGACGAAAAAAATATACATTGAGTGATATACAATTCATATACATCATATACAATTTGAGTCACAAGTCTTTTAAAGGTATAGAAAAATATGTTTAAAATTATGTACACTCACATGACTCTAGTCATATCAGTGGCTTTGAAAAAGCTCTTTTATTTACCCACCTTCCCCCACTCCTGGTGGCCACCATGTTGAGATCATGACATTTGTGTTTTGCAAGTTTAATAGCACAAATATCAGACAAGCTTAACTCAAATTCTGATATTTTCCTTGGAACATCATCATATGTTGCACACCAGTCAACCTGTGGTAATGATAAGACATTAAAGCTGGTAAGAAGCAGAGAAGCTTATCGTACTGGCTAGGAAGTAACACTTAAACATGTAATTACTTTATGCCCATTTAACTGTTTGTATACTTTCCTCTTCCTCTCTCAGGTTCTGAGTGTATCTCCAGAGCAACCTGTGGTGTTCCTGATGTTAAGGCAGGTTCAGTGCGAGCGCCTCCTGTTGTCTGATGCCGGTAACTGTGTTCCTCCTGCGGTGCTGGATCAGCTCAGCGCTGCTGTCATGGCCAATCACACATCTGTGTCCGCCTGGCATGTATGTACATTCAGCATCTCACTGAGGAGAGCTTGTTGTCAAGATTGATTTCATAGTGAAAGTCAATGTGAATGTGCATCTTGCTATGTTATATGTATTTAATTTTAAATGCTGCCTTTTTGGTTTCCCCTGGTCTGAATGTGTTTCACGCACTTTATTAAATCACACAGGAGATTTTCAATGAAACCAACAAATGTTTTTATATTTTATATAGAAAGGAGGTTTAACCAGGTTTACTCATTGTTAATTTGATCTTGCTGTCTCTCAGTGGTTGGCAGAAGTGTACCATTCTCAGGGTCTGCTGGCTCAGGCCTCTGTGGCATATAGACAGAGTCTTCAGCTAGCCTCTCAGCTCGGTGACCACATTGGAAAGATGAGCAGTCTGCTCCAACTAGCCCTGCTGGCACTCATGCCATGTTTGGTGAGTACCAGATTAATCTTGTACAGGGAAGTTGGAAAAAATGGGCACAGATATCTCAGACACTTTTTTATACTATACAGTGTGGCCTGAATGACTTAAATACTTTTTTGTATTTAAACACAGAAGTAAACAGACAGATTTTGAAAAAAAGTAAATAATATAAAAAATATATAATATAATATAAATTGTCGATATATCTCTGTGTGTGTGTGTGTGTGTGTGTGTATATTTATGTATTAAGTTTAAATGTCAAACACAAAGTCTACAAATGGTCTCAGACTTCAGATTCAGCTGCTTCCATTTTGTCACCTTCAAGCAGTAACTTAATTTACCTGAATATTAATGACTGAAGAAAAATGCAGAATTGTTAAAGTAGCACGGCTTTCTTTGTGAAAATAGATTTCTTTTGTTTGCTGTGCTTTCGTCTAATAGTTCTTCTTGTAGATGGAGTACCTCTAGACAGCTGTCAAACCTTGCAAATCCCAAGTCTTTACGTTAGATCAGAGGATGTGCAGTGGGATTTCAAACACAAATATATGGCAGCCGCAGTCTGAATCCTGTCCTGTTAGACAGAGAGGAACGGTTTACTCAGGGTAGATTCAGCTCATAATAACTCATGAGATCACCGTGTGATAATCCTGCAGTCTTCATAAAACACTGACTGGATGGATGAACAGCTATGAAAAGTTGTTCAAACAAGCATGTACTGTAATATGGCAGACAATCATGCGGCAAACCTGATGAAAGAAAGGAGTCCTATTGTAGTGTTGTTGACAGACTAATAGTGGAAAGTTAAACACAAGGTTATCAGACCACTCTGTGCTCATTCCAATGTGTTTAGTTAATTTAACTTTTAATTATAATTCCATAAAATACCATTTAAAAATTTGGGGACAGTAAGATGGTGTTTTGAAAGCAATGAATAGTTTTATTCAGCAAGGATGCATTAAATTGATCAAAAGTGACAGTAAAGACATTTTAAAGACATGTTATAAAATATTTCTATTTCAAATAAATGCTGTTATTTTGACATTTGTATTCAGCAAAAAAACTCTGAAAAAATAAACGTATCGCAAATTAACACAAATGTATAGCAGCACAATAGTTTTCAACATGAATAGTAAAAAGAAATTGGAGTAATGGCTACTGAAAAGGCAATCACAGAATTGTTTTTATTTATATATTTATTGTGAATTCTAAATAATTTTTTACTGGATTTGTAATACATTTGGATACATCTGGTATTTTTCTTAATGTTTTCCTTGTCACATTTTAAATTAGTTTGTCTGCTAGTGTCTGTATGACCGCTAATAAAAATGGAAATTATTATTTTGGGCTAAGCCTTTTACAGCACCTTCATGGCATCTTTCTTGCACATTTCCCCCTTTTTTCTCTGCTTCCTCTTCCTCCCTCCCTTTTCTTTTTGTCTCCCCCCCTCCCCTCCATCCACTGTCAGCGTATTGCCTTCATTTTAGCTGACTGCAGCTTTGCCTGCTAAATTGAATTAGACACTTTGTGGCTAGCCTTTCATTACTTTTAATTAAAGCGTGTCAGCCTTCAGCGTATCCAGACTCCGGTCATATATTAGTCTGAACTTTGCCAGCTAAAATACATCTAAAATCCTTGTTTTAGAAGGTTTTTTAATTACTCATTCCATTGCACAAACTTTACAGGCCATTCTACAATGCAAGGAAACACTGTGTAAATATGTCTACTTGTACTTCTGACAACAGGCTGGTGTCTGTGTCTCTGAGTGGAAGGATCTGGTGTTGGAGGCCAGCAATGAAGTTTTAAAGATGGGCAGCTCACCAGTAGCTCTGCTCTTCCAAGCCTTACTGCAGTTCTCTATAAAGATGGGTGCCAGGTAGGGCCGTTTCACAAAGCACAAATTACTTTTTTGCCACTCTCTTGCTGCATATGTGAGGATTTTTGCATATAGCTTTAGTAGGGTTTTGTGTTCACATTGATTGTCACCATGACATTCAGTCAACATGTCAGATCAGTCATGCCACGTGTTTGTATTTCATTGTTTGCCTCCTCTTGGCATTGCATTCTTATTTAGTCTATTTAAATATGAAATATATCACCTTTATTCATGATATCAGAGGTTAAACTGGGTCCGGATCAAATTGATAATGGTTTGTTCTTCTACAGGGAAACCCGTCGCCTATTGGAGAAAATAGTTTATGCTTCAGCCTCAGGAGGTCAAATAAATGCTGTTATTTTGACATTTGTATTCAGCAAAAAAACTCTGAAAAAATAAACGTATCGCAAATTAACACAAATGTATAGCAGCACAATAGTTTTCAACATGAATAGTAAAAAGAAATTGGAGTAATGGCTACTGAAAAGGCAATCACAGAATTGTTTTTATATATTTATTGTGAATTCTAAATAATTTTTTACTGGATTTGTAATACATTTGGATACATCTGGTATTTTTCTTAATGTTTTCCTTGTCACATTTTAAATTAGTTTGTCTGCTAGTGTCTGTATGGCCGCTAATAAAAATGGAAATTATTATTTTGGGCTAAGCCTTTTACAGCACCTTCATGGCATCTTTCTTGCACATTTCCCCCTTTTTTCTCTGCTTCCTCTTCCTCCCTCCCTTTTCTTTTTGTCTACCCCCCTCCCCTCCATCCACTGTCAGCGTATTGCCTTCATTTTAGCTGACTGCAGCTTTGCCTGCTAAATTGAATTAGACACTTTGTGGCTAGCCTTTCATTACTTTTAATTAAAGCGTGTCAGCCTTCAGCGTATCCAGACTCCGGTCATATATTAGTCTGAACTTTGCCAGCTAAAATACATCTAAAATCCTTGTTTTAGAAGGTTTTTTAATTACTCATTCCATTGCACAAACTTTACAGGCCATTCTACAATGCAAGGAAACACTGTGTAAATATGTCTACTTGTACTTCTGACAACAGGCTGGTGTCTGTGTCTCTGAGTGGAAGGATCTGGTGTTGGAGGCCAGCAATGAAGTTTTAAAGATGGGCAGCTCACCAGTAGCTCTGCTCTTCCAAGCCTTACTGCAGTTCTCTATAAAGATGGGTGCCAGGTAGGGCCGTTTCACAAAGCACAAATTACTTTTTTGCCACTCTCTTGCTGCATATGTGAGGATTTTTGCATATAGCTTTAGTAGGGTTTTGTGTTCACATTGATTGTCACCATGACATTCAGTCAACATGTCAGATCAGTCATGCCACGTGTTTGTATTTCATTGTTTGCCTCCTCTTGGCATTGCATTCTTATTTAGTCTATTTAAATATGAAATATATCACCTTTATTCATGATATCAGAGGTTAAACTGGGTCCGGATCAAATTGATAATGGTTTGTTCTTCTACAGGGAAACCCGTCGCCTATTGGAGAAAATAGTTTATGCTTCAGCCTCAGGAGGCTCTGAAACAATAGCATCAGTGGCACGCTGGTACCTCCTGCGCCACCTGCATGCCAAAGATGACCTGGAGCTGATAGATGTGAGCAGTTGCATTCACTCGCTCTACTTGAAAACAAATGAGTAACTCAGGCTTGTGTTGCCCTTATCAGATTTGATTCCAATGTAATAAAGCATACTGAAAGTTCAGCTTCAGCTACCTACTATATTAAGATTAATATCTATTTAATACCTATAGTAATAGTGTTTCATTATCCATTTTGTTATTTTTAGTGCTGTCAAATGATTAATCGCCATTAATCGCATCCAAAATAAGTTTTTGTTTACATAATATATGTGTGTGTACTGTGTATATTTTAATATATCAACATTTACTATATATAAACATGACATATTTTTCTTAAATATATACATGCATGTGTGTATTTATATATACATAATATAAATATACATAGTACACGCACATATTATGTAAATAATTTTTTTTATTTTGGATGCGATTAATTTCAATTGATTGCACTAATTATTTTATAAATGTACTTTTTTTTTCAAATTGCTTCAACGGTTATTGTAATTGTCTGAATGGTAACTATTGGCCATCTAATACAGTTAATGAGATGAATGAACTACATTCACAAGCAAGTTTTTTTATATATAAGAATTATTTGTACCATTAAACATCCTGCAAATGTCATAGTAGCTTACAACATCACCAGTATCAAAAAAAAAAAAGAGGAACCAACCAAGTTAAACCAAAACCGTTTTGTTTGGATATTGTGGGATTTATGACTTCACACGGGCAAATACATTTTCATATGACTACCTCTAGAACATCGATGAAACATTTTACGTCATCGTACTATACGCCCCACCCACTGGCATTGAGTCTGATGCTTGTGCTTTTTCACTTTCTAACGTACTCCATGCGCTTGAGCTACTCCTGACAACAGGACAAATGGAAGAGTAAAGGAATACTTACTTTAATGCATTTGGTTTAAACAAAAATATTTGCGTCTGTAGAGCCTTCAGAAGGTCCCCAGCGTCATTTTATACAGAGGGTCAGAGTGAGGGTTCAAAACAATCATTTTTCAAATATATGACTGTTAAAGTGAATATGAAGTGAACCTCAAGTTACACATTAAAATTATTTTATAAATCTATGTCATGACCCCTTTAAGAATGGCATTGTGTTTTGGGCTTGTAGACTCTGTTGGTGAATGCAACAGCAGAAGGAGACAGCAGACTGGTGGATTTCCACAGACGCCTTTACCCATCCAGCTGAGACAGTCCACCATCCTCACATCCCTCAGGAGACCTGCATTTCACCATTCTTCTGCTTCATCTCTTGCACACTGAGCAGTTTACTCACCGATCAATATTTACAAATCTGAAAGTCTTTACATGACCACGTACATTTCATTATGTACGGATATATCTGCTAAGCTAATTTAAAAAGACACTTGATCTATATGAATGGCTCTTTTAATAGCAGTTTATGGTATAACTGAATTAGCCTATGCTCACTGTATTGCAATCACATGAGTGTTGATACATGAAAAATTACATTAATGATTCATTATTATTTTTATGTGCCTTCCCCAAAGTGACAGTTTTTCGCCATTATTATGATCACCACAAGGCTCAGCTGACTATACTAAATCTAATGCTATTGTGATTATGTAACTCAAAAGAGTCATTGCTTCGGATCCAAAATCACTATTGGGCACATTTGAAAGTGCAGCAGTGGGATATCTGCTCTTCAGATTGTCTGTTTATGGTCAGAGAAACCAAGAATTCAAATGAATTGCTTTTTATCTGACACATCATTATCTTTGCCCTACAGAAGCACTGGCAGAACTAATTAACCTCTGTTTTTCCTCACTGTCATTTCCAAATAACTGACTTTACTCATCTCTGCAGAACTGACCTACAGTCGACTGGGCTGATTGAGGGCTATTGAGTCCCAGAAATATTAAAGCACATATCCAAAACAGAAAAAAAGTGGGAAATAACAATAATTGTTTATCATGTTGGGTGTATTTATGCTTTGCAAGTATGCATTGTTGGCTTGGAAAATTAAATGAAAACAAAGCGATCTTGTTTGTTTATTCTAACATTCATTACAATCAATACTAGCCTGGGGACGTGCAGACAAACACAGAACAATTCATCTTCATAATCATTCAGTATTGAGCCTGCATGAGTATTGTGCTTCTTATATTGGATTTGTCGTAATTGTACCTTCATTGAATTTCATCAACTATGATTGTTCACTCAGAATCTGATTTTAAAGTCTGGTCCAGCAAAAAGAGATTTAAAGGAAATTACCTCACGACTAAAGCTGACTAAATCCTTATTTTTTCAATCCAGAAAACAAATGTAGAGCTTATTTCATTGTATTGTCCATCTGCCCACATTCTGCTGAATCATACTTGGTGTTCTCACACAGGTTGTATATTCCAGCATATTTGTCTTCTAAAAGAATGATCCAGTCAGGGCTCCTTCAGTCCATCCATGTTTCTCTGGATCTGTCTGATGTCTCGTTGGAGCTCTCCTTTGTCCAGCTTGGCTTTGGTGTTGCCAATGTGTCTCAGAGACGCAATGGCATCATGAACCGCATGGAACCCTGGCAAATATAATAGAGGAGATCACCTTCAGAAAGCTGTGGGAGCATTACCTCTGTGGCAGAAGTGTGTGTTAGATGTCTCATCAATAATGCATCACCTGCCTTCAGTCCGTCACAGGAGTCTCAAAGAGAATTTGAGAGCAGAAATCATGTACTACTGTACAGTACATTTCAAGGCCGGAGGTTACAATGATTGTGAATTCTTTGTTCTGTTTGTTTATTGAGGTTGATTTGGTATTTTGTACTGAATGCCTGGAAAACGGTGTAATCTGTCAATCCATAACTTTTGGAAACAGGAATGAAATATAGATAAGCTAATAAATGCCATATCTGCTAGGGTGGAAGATACCCAGCAGGCTTGTCTGTACATTAAGCTTCAATTGATGCCAAAATACTGATTAAGTCCCAATTTGGGCCTTGTTTTCTATTAGCACTTTAATTTTACAAGCAAACAGCCTGGAAAAACAGCCACAAGAGAGAAAAATTGGGCCGCTCATTTTGGTTGGTATTGCATGGCAGGCAGCTAGAAAAACAATCTTTCCAGTCTGGTTTTATGTGATGTGCTAGTTTACTGTTCAGATGTTGGCTTTCAATGATTTGTTAATTCAGAGGTGTGGGCAGAGAGGCACTAAATATGATGGCGTAAAAAGGTCTATATTATACTTCAGCTTTTCATATACAGTTTGGAGTCCAAACTTTTGAATGGTAGTTAACAAGTTGAGATGTTCTAAGGGCTTATGGTTATGTCATCCTAATGCAAGACTTGCCTGACTGGTACTCCCTCCTCATCTGCTCTAGTTCTTCTTTGAAGCACTGCTCCAAAGTGTTGATCTTGCTGCTGAGTTTGCTCTCTGAGCGCTTGGTCCTGTCAGAAGATCGCACCTTCTCCAACTGTGCCTCCAACCTTTCCAGATGACTAAAGAGAACAGCGATGTTCTCCTTTAGCTCGCTTTCCACTTCAACCTAAGTACATATTTTGCACAGATTATGTACATATAGTTTAACATGTTAATGGATATGACAATGTAAATTTATGCGGTATTGCCAAACTAGATCTGCTACACACTGCTGCTGCAGAGTAAGTAGTTTTCTACTACCAATAGATGCACAAACCTGCTGCTATGAGCATGTAAGATATGCTGCTGCATGAATAGATGTACATAAATACCATAGCAGACAGGTGGAGCTGGGGGAGGTGGAGGGTTTCTGAAGTCCACTGAACCAGACTATTTAAATGTTGAGCGAGAAAGCTTAATAGCTGCAGAATCAGCTGAGGCCAATTAGCTTGTGTCATGTAAATGATTTGATGCAAAGGACATATCAGTCTGTCCCATCTAGTGTTTAATAACTAGATGTTTAGCTATATACTGTATATATAAATTATATTTAATTAATTTATATAAGTATATACATAATTTACTAGTAGGTGTGCTCTCTCCAAAGGCCTTTCATTTGTAGTTTGACTTTAAAACCACAGACGTTATACCACAGTGATATTTCACTATGACAAAGCCCACTTGTTATATTTACTCAGAAAGACGCATTCACACATTTACCACTCTGTCCTGCAGCAGTGTGTGCAGCTGCTGGCTGCTCTCTGTGTGTGATTGGACTGTGGTTTTCATCTGCTCCTCTGCCCACTTCCTCAGTCTCACTGTCTGTTCCTCCACCTCCCTCAGACTACTAGAGATCCTGCATAAATATACATACATGCCACATTACATACTACAATTGCATTAATCTTCTATTGTATTAACTAATGCCATTAAGATATTGTGATTATGGCAAAGCTATGATATAAAATAAATTCCAACATCTTATGTTTACTGGAAATGTCAGGTCAGGTCAAGGCGTCTTTTTATCATTTAAATTTGACAAAACAATACCAATCAGTAGTATGATATTTTTATGTTACTTCTTTAGTATTTGCTGTTTTGTAACTCTTTTAAGTGTTTGTCAGAAATGTTCAATGGCTATATATAAACTGACTTTCAAAAATAACTCTACACTGAGGAATATTCATTAAAGTAAAAAGTGTGTCAACTAGCCCCGACCTCCTTTAATAAAGGTTAAATTGTGTCGAATAGACATCACTCTCACATTTGGGCTCATGCTAGTTCCCGGTTTCTTTCTCAATGTGTTTATTTGTCTTTGGCCCATATGCTTCTCTTCATGAGTCACTGTAAGCTATCTTGACCCAACACTATTACATAACAGGCCAAGCATAGCCAGCCAATTGTTTTGATTCTGTCACCATGAAAATACGTTTTCCACTGGGATCATGGGCAAGGCTCCATTTCAGCGTGCTGAAGCTGCCATCTGTGCTCCACAATGCAGTCAGGAGCTAATATTGTCGCTGAGATTGAGAGCATCACCTTGCACATGCCATGATGCCCATGTGGCAGCTCATAGACTGGCATTTGCACTATTTGGAGGCATATCTGGTGAGACATTGGTTCCCCTGGGAGCCATTTGGTGCTGAAACACCAGACACTTCTCATGTTTCCTATTTTCATCAGTCTCAACAGAACAAATCCTCCTGACAGCAGATTTGATAGAGTTGGAAAAGTATCGCAATAAGTGATGCCAGGGCTGTCAAGTCTCTTCACTAGTGCCCTTCACATAGAAATTTTATTAGAAGAAACTAGGGGCCTAAAATAGATTTCTGCAACAGGTCTGATTATTGTTTCTTTTATTAATTAGATATTAGCAGTCCCGCAGCCCAAACCACTTGAAAACATGTCTGCAAAGTAAAAATAAATGAAAAATTAAATTCACACTTCAGTATATTCCAGCTTGGCATGTCACATTTGGTTATATGAGACATGCAAGATTCAATAGTGTTTGGCCTTTTCGGTTTCTCATCTTTTCTCTTTTATTTTGAGCATGTCAAGGAGCCATGTTTTTCTTTTATTGCTAAATACAATAACATTTTAAAAATGCACAAGAACAAGTGCCAGAGTACAAAAAAATAAAAAACTAATAACATTCCATTTGAAGGAATTTTTTACACTATGTCAGCTGTAAAACAATAATTAATTTCTTCTTAATGAAACTTTCCATATCAAATACATTTTTGTACTGTATGAATACAATACAAACAAATTACGAATGGTTTCCTTGTCATTTTACAAGTCACAAAAGTAATCAGTATTTATTTCAAAATGCTCCAGCAGATGTTTTACAGTCAGTATATATTTTAAGTAATTGTTTTGTGAAACTTATCAAATTTAACTGCTGTTCAGAATTTGCACCAGTTCAAATCTTCAAAAAAGTTGTGTTGTGTTTTTAATGTCAATAAATAAGAATCAATTTTTGTATTGCATTGTTAATGGACATTGTTAATTGCCATTACTTGCATTGGTTAAGTGAATGACTCAATGACTCATAAAGACAGTCCACTAGTTTCATTCTTGAATGAATATTATACTCTCAAAAAGTAAAAATATAAAAGCTGTCACTGAGGTGGACCCTTTCGAATCTTACTAATATATACACACTTTAGGTATTTCACAAGTTCACGCTTACATATAATTAGCTGAAGTATGGTAATGCATATTTGATGTGCTGTCCGGGGAAGGGCTCCGAGCTCGAGGAAGGGCCCAAACCTAGAGTACCCCCCCAGCCCCCCATAAGTGTAGTATGAACTCGAAGTGAGGTGATGGGGTGGAGGAGGGATGCTGATAAACTGTCAACGCATAGAGGTAAGTCAGCTGTATTTATATCATGGTGCTGATTAACTTGAGTGCGCTCCACCTGTGTTAATTAGGCTAAGTATCTGACGCGCTCCTCCTGAACCTTGCTAATAAAACATCATTAATATGTAAGATAAGATACTTTAAGATACTAATAGGCACTGTTTAAGGGTAAATATGGTACAAAGGTGTTATAATTGTTAATTTTGCACCTGGATGTCTTTGCTGAGCTGTTTGACAATGTGAGTTATGATTTGAATGTGGTTCTCCAGTAGTTTTCTAGCAGACGACTCCATTAGGACTGAACCCTGAGTTGCACGTAGACCAGTCAGCACATCGTCCCTGATCTTCATGGCTTGTTCCAGTAGAATGCTCAGAGTGCGTTCCTGATTAGTCATGTGGCTCTCCATATGTCCTATAAGCATTTAATTCAAAACATAATTACACAACTAGCACTCATTTGCTAGAGCCCCATTTTTTTAGGCCTTTAAACATAAACAGTCAAGCCCACAGAGAGTTAAAGTAAAGTCTGGCAGTACAGAAGTTTTATTTTCAAAGGCTGGTCACCAGAAACTTAATTTTAAAATCTCTTCATCAAAGGCAAAACAGCCTGTTACATCTCATTACAGTGTAATGTGAACTTATTTGGTGTCATTTAATATTGTAAAATGTATAGTATAATTAGTAAACAGAGTCTGAGAATGCTTTACTTTATAAAAGAAACTACAGTAAACAGCCATACTGTCGAAATGAAGCTTAATCAAATGCCTTTTGAAGCTGCAAGAATGCAGCCCTGTTTTCTCTTACATTGCATTAAATGTAGTGCGCATAACTCAAGGGCTCCAGCAAACTACATCAACTATTGATTATCTGCCGCTGAGTACCGTTTCACTCTGATGCGCTCATATAGAGTATTCCTTTAGCAGCAAAAGAAAGTGTTAAAATGTGTATGCATGTGCTATATACAGTATATATATACTATATATATATATATATATATATATACAGTATATACACAGTATATATATAGTGCAAAGTTAAGTTGAAATCTTGACTTACTTGTGAACTGTTTCCTTGTAGTCTATGTTTGTTTAGTCTGATCTCTTAGCTACTGCATGGCATGTTCTGACAGGAGTGTGCCATTACTTGACAACTAGATAATGCAGACAATTTGCAAATATGGTATTTTAAAAAAGTACATCTGCTTGTCTAAATATAACGTAATTACTACTAATTAACATTCTATTCTGCAAAGGATTACAGCTTTAGGATGATGCAGTTCATCATGCTATAATTTGACAAAAATTAAGTACTGAGATATAAGCCAGACATCTCAGACTCCTCATTAATTCTCATGGGCTTCTCTGGCCAGAGTGCCAGTAATGATTTCCCTTTTGTGATTTGTAACACATATATTATGCAATAGCAAATGTACTCAGTATTCCCACGCTTCAAAGCTAAGTGGTGATGGTCTCTTCTGGGGAATTATTAATGTCCTAATGTGTGTTGTTACTTGCTGTGTGTAAAATCAATTTGATACACATAAACATTTTAAACATCACAGCTCTTCGTCAAACAGACATGCCTTTACAGCAGCTGTTACAGCCTTTATAGAATGAAATAATTCAAATTCTAAGATCTTTAAAAGGAAAATCGCGTGGGTTTTATTGTGGGCGGTATTCTTTTGGCTTTAAACCGATAGCATGGATATTTACACTGTAAATGCTAGTAATTGTAATGGAAAAAGAATATAAAAATGATATACAGTCAAAACTCGTCAAATCTATGTAAATGCGCAATAGTGCATAAAAGCCAGGCTAAATTATGCCTGCTCAGACCCAACTCAGCTCCTATATCAAAGTAGTGTAATTGCTGTGTAAATGCATTTATGCCCCTGTGCCACATTAGACACACAAATTCCACTTCAGAAGCACTTCTCTGCCACCTTTACAGTGTAAAATTGCAAGAAATGATGCCTACCCCTCAGAGGACCTCAGATGATGCCAACCCCGAAACAACATACTAAACATTTTAAACATCACAGCTCTTCGTCAAACAGACATGCCTTTACAGCAGCTGTTACAGCCTTTATAGAATGAAATAATTCAAATTCTAAGATCTTTAAAAGGAAAATCGCGTGGGTTTTATTGTGGGCGGTATTCTTTTGGCTTTAAACCGATAGCATGGATATTTACACTGTAAATGCTAGTAATTGTAATGGAAAAAGAATATAAAAATGATATACAGTCAAAACTCGTCAAATCTATGTAAATGCGCAATAGTGCATAAAAGCCAGGCTAAATTATGCCTGCTCAGACCCAACTCAGCTCCTATATCAAAGTAGTGTAATTGCTGTGTAAATGCATTTATGCCCCTGTGCCACATTAGACACACAAATTCCACTTCAGAAGCACTTCTCTGCCACCTTTACAGTGTAAAATTGCAAGAGATGATGCCAACTCCTCAGAGGACCTCAGATGATGCCAACACCGAAACAACTTACAGAACTACCACATTTTGCTATAAGTTTGATTGCATCATATAATATTTGCTGTTAATAGTGTTCATCGTCTGTTTTATTACCTCTTTAATTGATTTTTCTGTTCATTTCTGCCATACGTACATTAACTGACAGTCACCACTAATAAGCTACTGCTAAATATTGTAGAAACTTAATTTGCTGTAAAGTTGCTTTGCAATGATTTGTATCTGAAAAGTGCTATACAAATAAACTTGAATTAAAATTGCAATATGAGTTGCCTCACCATGTATGTTAAAAAATGTAACGTCATAATTTAAAAGACCTTAATAATACCTTATTGTAGTTATTTTTGAAGTTATATGGGCTATATCTACATATATATCTATATCATAGCCTATATATATATATATATATATATATATATATAAGTATTTATGTTATTAGTAATTTAGGGGAGATCGGGACACAATGGAACACTTTATGACTTTCGTTTGTGTAAATCCACATGGGGTTCAGAATATAATTTTCTATCCACAGTAATTTTACACTTGTCTAGTACAAATATGTCGCTTTGTTTCATAATTACAGTGTATACGTTTTTCTTTATTTACCCTCAAAAAATGGAAGTGAAATGTGACAACATGCTCCGTATGTGGGGTACATTGTAACATCTGAGGGGCACCTTGTAACTTGACCATATGACAGCTTAAAATATTATCTGATCAAATAAAATAATGGCATTTTTTAAAGAATTAAATATAATCTGAATCTTGAAATAATCATTTCTAAACATAAAACATTGACTGTCAGTCTTTATTCACCTGTTACTCGTTGTTTCTCATTAAAATTCATTAAAGTAAATAGTGTAAATTATAATGACACGCTAATGTCATAGAATAGCACACTGTAATGCAGTGTTACAACGTAGCCTACCCCACCTGCGCAACTGGAATTTAAAACAGGTTAGTGTATTTTGCTAGTTATCAAAGCATTAAAAAACTAGCTAAACTGATAAATAACAGATTGGAGATTAAAATAATAGCTGATTTGTTTCACACAGATGAAACATTTTCTTAAAGGGGTCATATGATGCGATTTCAAATTTTCCTTTCTCTTTGGAGTGTTACAAGCTCTTGGTGCATAAAGAAGATCTGTAAAGTTGCAAAGATTAAAGTCTCAAATCCAAAGAGATATTCTTTATAAAAGTTAAGAGTCAGCCATGCCTACCTAAAACGGCTCGTTCTAACACGCCCCCACATATCTACGTCACGATGTGGGAAGATTTGCATAACGCCGCCCAAATGTTCACGCAAAGAAAGAAGGCGTAACTTTTATTCTCGCTGTAGTATTGTTGCTGCCGCCATGTCGTGAAGGCTCTGTGTGCTTCGTTGTGAAAGCGAAACTACTTTGTTTGGTCTTCCAAAAGAGGACGATATCCGCTTCGTCATGCCTGGAGCTGATCCGTGCTGGCCGCTGAAGGAATACATCAACTTCAGGCTGTGGATCGCCGGAACATTTTATGGAGGAGTGTTTACTGATCCTGGGAGAGTAACAATGCCGGCAGTTCTGACTCACGTAAGTACGTTTTCTTTTATCATTTGCCACTGATGATTCAAACGTGAGTTTTGGGCAGTGTGGAGTAACACTTGTTGTTTGTCATTTCTCCGATCACAAATGCAGAGTTTTATGTTTACGCGGCACGATGCAACACAACGCGTAAAAAGACAGTATAAGTCATTATAATCAGTAATTATGTCTCCACTGGATGCAACAAATGCCTCGTTTGTAATGGGTTTTAATGTTTTTGTCTCGTCACTCCAGCCGGGACACAGCATCAACAGTATGGTGAGGGGCGTAACATTTCTGTCTCACGCTTGAGGTATTTGGCCAATCACAATGCACTGGATAGCTGGCCAATCAGAGCACACCTCACTTTTCAGACCGATGAGCTTTGTAAAAATCGACGCGTTTCAAAAAGGCGGGGCATAGAGGAGAAACAATAATGTACAGTATGTGGAAAATAATGTTTTTTTTTAACCTTAAACCACATAAACACATTTCATTACACCAAATACACAAAATAATGTTCATTTTAGCAACATCATATAACCCCTTTAAGCCAGAATTTTAATTTTACTATGGTAAAATAAAAATTCAGCCATATCTTCAAAATATTTTTTAAATTTAGAATTTATATAATGTTTTTCTCTATATAATGTTGATATGGTAACTAATAAATGCTGTAAATTGTGTTATGCTAGCATGTGTGGAAATATTCAAACCACGTGTGTTACAACTAACCCCGCGTTACTGTGCCCTGCGCTCCCCTACTTCTGTTGAGGCAGTGTTGCTTATCTGCTTACCTCTAATGTGTCTTTCCGGTGTGCCACTGCCACCTGTATTACTATCAGCACTTTTTATTGTAACAAACAACAACATTTAATAGCTCAAATGGCTTGTATTAACATTATGTAATATAATGACATACGTTGACCTGTCCTGTAAAATATACACTCACCAAATTCCTTATAATTACTGACTTTCACCAGAGGGAGGCGTATCTGCAATTATGTATTCTTGTACTGGCTATTTCTTAGGATACTGTCAGGTCATTAAGTCATTAATGAATGAATCAGATGCACAGTCACGTTTATTTCACAGGTAACCCTTGTTTGTTATTCTTCTGATTTTTACCTCATGTATTCTTCTATAGGGCTATTTTATGAAATGAAAACAAATGGTCCAGTAATAGGTTTTAGTTTAGACTTTAAGGTTGATGTGCCTTGAAAGACCCTCTGAATAATGCCACTAGCAGCAGCATCACCAGATAAAGTGAATGTGTTGTAAGTGCCCAAGTGTCATCTGCGATAGAGAGCACGCGCTCCTGTGCGCCCGCCCGCGCGCTTCAGTGTCACTGGCGCTCCGCGCGCTGACAGCCTGCTGCCGCCGCTGCTGCTGCTGCTGCTGCTGGACGGGAACCATGGAGGAGAAACACAAAGATGAGAGCGCCAAAGACCCGCAATCAACGTCCTACCAGAGAAGGATGTGGAGGAATTTCCAAGTGAAGACCAAGCCATTTTTGAGCCCCAAACTGGGGTCCGAACGACGCAGCGGGGATGGTAAAAAAGAAAGCGGTTTGTGGATGTTTAAAAGAAAGAAGAAACAGGTCCTGGACCGGGTCTTCTCGTCCTCGCAGCCCAATCTGTGCTGCTCAACTCCGCCGTCTTTCGTAGGCGACAGGACCCTGTGCGAGCAGCCGGACTCCAGCGCCGGTAAAGGGCTCGGGATCTCACCGCTGGCCGCTGCTGATGGAGCTTCAGTCAGTAAACCGGAGATTTCCGTATCCGCGCACGGAAGCCCGAAGCTGCTGGTGTCTCATCTGGTGATGTCTCAGCAGAAGAGCTCGTCCTTGGGCTCGGCGTGCTTCGAGAAGCTGGTGGTGGAATCGGCAGCATCCAGTGAGGATGAGCTGGCCAAAAACGCTAGTGACCTGGTAAGTGTGGTTTTAAAACACAAGATAACCAAGAAAGTGACCTGGGTGTGCTTTTTGCATCCTGAGAAATTATTTTTTTTCTTCACGCTTCACTGTCTTCTCATTAACTGACTTGCAAATTGAATATTGTCTGGTCATCTCCCATGTGGGGTATTTAGACAGCAGTTGACATTAAACATGTTTACTGATCTGTCAGTGTGTGGTGCTGCCGATTCCCTTCTTGTATACTCATTTGTGGTTTAGACTAAGAAGTAACTCGATTCATAATGTCACATAATGTCAATGGCACTTCGTAACTTTACTTTTCACAGCCATTTTTGCAAATACTTTTTACTTAGTGTCAGTGTCACTTGTGATGAATGTATGTAGTGGAAATGTTTACACAAGTATCCTAGCAGTGACAACAGGTGAAGTTCATCACATCAGGATTCCCATAATACATTTCCACGACTTTCCTATGATTTTCCCAATTGTTTCTAAATACTGGATAAAGGTTTTTATAAAGATTGCACTCCCGTCACTGCGACCTTGATCTGTGTCATGAATGATAGTCATTGCCTTAAGTAGTGATGTTGTTAACATGTAGCAGCTTTTGTGGTTATCACACTTGAGAGTTTGAAATGACACATCTGTCTTAATGAGGCTGTTATGTGCAACAAAGCAAACTTCTGAATAGTTATTATCTGCAATCTAAGGTGCAACTAGTTGAAGCTCTAAAGTTTTGGCTGAAACTGCTGCAGGTTGTCAGCTGTATTATTGGAGGCATTATTCCCTTTGTGCAAATATTATTTAACAGTAAATAAATGAAATCAGCTGTTACACACTAAATGTAATCAACAGCATAAACAGGACTTTATAAAGTTTTTCTTCAGGTATAAGAAATTCAAAAAAAAAAAAATAAAATGTTATCTACTTTTTCAGACAATGGAAATGCAACAGAAAGCAATACTTATAAGAACCTGTTTTTTAGGCTATTCATTTATAATTTTGTGAACCTCCTGACATCATTATTGGCCCTTCATTTAATTATTTTGGTCATGTTAAAAATGTATAGACAGCAAGATCAGTGGTTGAATATTTAGAAGGTAGGAGTTTAAACGGTTGTTGAGATTTTTTGATGTAATGCTGCAGAAAGAGAAAAAAATAAGTGTGCTTAATTATTTGAAGGGCTTATATTTATTAAAGTGATAGTTCACAAAAAATAAAGTGCTGAAAATGTAATCACCCTCAGGCCATCCAAGATGTAGACGAGTTTGTTTCTTCATCAGAACAGAAATTGGATAAATTTGTTATTACGTTACTTACCAATAGATCCTCTGCAGTGAATGGGTGCTGTCAAAATGAGAGTACAAACAGATGATAAAAACATCACAATAATCCACAAGTAATCCACACGACTCCACAGTCTATCAGTCTGTTAATCTCTTATGAAGTGAAAATCTGCATGTTTGTAATAAGCAATCATTAAGGTGTTTTAACTTTAAATTGCCTCTTCTGGCATTTGTTTACAACTGTGAACTATTTGAAACTTGATCTGTGCATATTTCTCTCCTAATTCAAATGAGACCTTTTCCCTGAAGAAAGCACTATTATGGATAGAGGTTCTTTTTTTTTGCGATGAAGAAACAAACTTATCTACATGGGCTGGACAGCAACATTGCAGAATAACTACCTTCTTCAAACTCAGAGGGATGTATATGTGACCCTGGACCACAAAACCAGTCTTAAATCGCTGGGGTATATTTGTAGCAATAGCCAAAAATACATTGTATGGGTCAAAATGATTGATTTTTATTTTATGCCAAAAATCATTAGGATATTAAGTAAATATCATGTTCCATGAAGATATTTTGTAAATTTCCTACTGTAAATATATTAAAACTTAATTTTTGATTAGTAATATGCATTGCTAAGAACTTAATTTGGATAACTTTAAAGGCGATTTTCTCAATATTTAGATTTTTTTGCACCCTCAGATTCCAGATTTTCAAATAGTTGTATCTTGGCCAAATATTGTCCTAACAAACCATACATTAATTGAAAGCGTATTCATTCAGCTTTCAGATGATGTATACATCTTATGACTGGTTTTGTGGTCCAGGGTCACATATTACCATTTGTGTAAGGCATCCTTAAACAAAAAAAACAAAACAAAATATAACAAAACAAAACTTAAAAACAAAAGTAGTCATATTTTCAATGTAGGCAGTTTGCATTAGGCTTCTTATATGAAATCTCAGATATTTATGGAAAGATCAAAATCTCTGCACGTAATATGATAAAGTATGTGGCTTTGAGAAGTTCAGTGACATTGTATGCAGAGAAGACAATGAAAGAATCAGTGACCCATTTAGCCTGATCCATAATTAAACCCTCTACCATATCTTTCCCTCCATAGCAATTATATAATACCTTACTACCATACTGGTTCTGTTTTTCTGCTTGAAAATTTAACAAATAGGGCTTATTTCTCATAAATTAGAGCGACTGTTAGATATAGATCTATGCAATGTCACTGTAGAGCAGATTAGGTAAGGTCATAAGTGAAGAGTGCATACAACCACTACTGCTCATGGCAGTCCTCTTGTGCCGCGTCATCACATTTTTATTACCTCACCATGAAGGTTTCTGTCACCAGCTGAGAGTGGAAGAAGCTTCTGGCAGTCAATGTACTTTCTGGCTCTGAGAGAATAATAATTTTTGCCAATATGCTGACTTGTTTTAGTGAAGTGTCAGGGCTGCATAATCTTTAATTATTGAGAATGTCCATTTGGTTTAGTACACGTAGTTACTGTATATATAAAAAACCCAATAAAAAAATAATTAAATAATCTAGTCATGATACTTTATGTAAGTGGGTCGTTTCACTGTTTGTATTGTTTTAAAGGGGACATCAGATGCCCATTTTCCACAAGTTGGTATGATTCTTTAGGGTCTTCATGAAAAGTCTATAACATACTTTGGTTAAAATTTCTCAATGGTAGTGTAAAACAACACCCTTTTTACCTTGCCAAAAACAGCTCTGTTCACAGCAACCCGTTTCGGTGCATGTCCCTTTAAATGCTAATGAGCTCTGCTCACCCCACCCCTTTCTTCTGTGGGGTGAGGAGCAGTTCTCTGAGACTGTAAACGCATTTAGCCGCGGAACTTGCTAACTAGCACAATATTAGGAAAGGCGATCTGCAAAGATTCATATAATAAAAACACTTATACTCACTTCTTCTGTAGGTGAGGCTGGATCACGAATGATTTGCGCGAACATAAACGCATTTAGGTAAATTGGGGGTACATTCCCTTCAAAAACAAAAGTAATCCACTGCGTCTTCAGTGGCTCAGATGTCGGGAGTAAATGACGACTGCTATGTTCATTCTTATATTAAACAACAAAACAATTAATCGCTTAGGAGACATTCTTGTCTACACCTGCTCCAGCATCGAAACAATGGTGGACTGTTGATAGCTCACTCAGGGTGGGTCTATGCTAAAACGGCAGTGTTCGTCAATAGTTGTGGGAGGGGCCTGTGCCTGTGTGACATCACTCTGCCAATAATCTGTGAACGTCTTCATCTGACACAGTGCTCATGATTTTTGGGGATTTAAAAAAAGCACTGGGTGAATTTTTATCATTATAGGGTGGTTGTGTACACACAATGCCAACACACATTTATGTTAAAACACCATGTAAAATTAATTTTGCATCTGATGTCCCCTTTAAGACAGGCTGTCAGTTTGGTAGGGATTTTCAGTGACTCTTTCTGCATGCATACAGCATTTAGTTAAAGCCAGTAGGTGGCGACAAGCAAAAGTCTTTAGATGTGATTCATTGATTCATTCATTCAAACGATTTGTTCAAATACGGATTAAAGAGTTTGCTCACCCAAAAATTAAAATTATTCCATGATTTACTCACCCTCAAGGCATGCTAGGTGACTTTCTTCTTTCAGTTGAATCCAATCGGAGTTATATTAAAAATGACCTGGCTATTCCAAGCTTTATAATGGCAGTGAGTGGGTGTTTTTGTTCGACAGTCCAAAATAAGTCCAATAAAGTGCATCCATCCATAATTAAAAGTGCCTCACATGGCTCTGGGGGGGGGGCTGAATAAAGGCCTCCTGTAGCGAAACAATGTGTTTTTGTAAGAAAAATATCCATATTTAAAAACGTATAAACAGTTTTCTCTAGCTTGCACTAACTGTCGTACGTGAAAGCCGTTCCGGGCGGATGATGTAGAATGTATGCGTAGCGCATGCTATAATATAACTCTGATTGGATTTGTCTGAAAGAAGAAAGTCATATACACCAAGGATGCTTTGAGGATGAGTAAATCATGGGGTAATTTTCATTTTTGGGTGAACTAACCCTTTCATTCAGGAATGAGCTAGGTGACTTTTTAATAAGTGAGTCATTTAATCATTCACTCAACCGATTCGAACACTGAATCATTCTGGAAACAAATACTGGTCTGTGCTGCTTGGATACAACTTTGTGTGGAACTACTTGCGTTGGCTGAGCGAAATTATACAAACTACCTGGGACATTATTGTGTCTAAAATGTAAGTTATTCAATATGTACTTCTTGTTCATTGCCCTGTTGTATATAAAAGCAAATTTCATACTCTGTATCTTACGTAATTGCGATTCATGCCATGCCTATCAATAACAATCTTGCTCGCCTGTGACATGTCGAATTATTTTGACTTGTAAAACCACTTTAGATGACATTTTCCTCCTTAGTTTTGCAAACAATAGTTTCTCAGCAAACAAAATATTTCTCAGTTCAGTTGTGTAGTCTTCACAATCTTTATTGGTTGGCCTAATTCAGTTCTTTTGAACTTCTCATCATCTTAGTTTTGACACACATACTGCTCTATTAATGGCCATAGCTGGTCACTCAAATGAACCTTCACTACTCCATGTTCCCTCATTAGTCTTTTATGTCTTTTTATTAGTCTAATGTCTACATCAAGGTAAACTACGCTTTTCCACTTTCTGGACCTTAA